CACCCCCCATCGAGACCGCCACCGCCACCGCCACCGCCACCGCCACCGCCACCGCCACCGCCACCTACCACCGCCACCGCCACCTACCACCACCCCCACCTTCACGCTGATCTGCAGGCCCGAGGACCAGAGAGTCGGCGCTGGGACAGGAGCAACCTGGTCCTGGGTCACATCGGTTTACGTCGGTTAAGGTTTACGCGGAACAAACAAGCAAACCGCCATTGAAGACTATCAGAATATCATGGTCAAGTCAAGTTGTTCATACTGTAGCCGAGCCAGGTCGAGCCATTAAAAAGGAGCAGTATGGCAAGCGTAGGCTGCTGCCAAGAAAGCAAGAGACGTGCTACGGAAAGATTCGCAGTGGCATGAACGCAGTGCTTGTGTCCTGGAGCTTAGGCACTTGAATGCTGAGCTGGATGGTAGGATTACATATTATTGTAGCCGAGATGCACACGGCATTGATTTTACTGAACTTGCTCCATTCAGGCACTGGCAGCAAGCAGCCGCAGCTGATCTCCTTTCGTGGGAGAACCTCGTCCCACTGCGGTACCCCGGAGCAGCCGAGTCCAGCAGCTACCCTAAGCTTTGATTGACGCAGAGCTTTCTCAATCCAGGAAGTAGGCCGGTTCCCCGTTTGCGCCGTCTCACGGGTCAAAGATCCGTTTGCTGCACTGACTGGCGCAGGAAAACAGGGGCCATGGCAGAGCTGCCTCCCTTGACAATTTTATCATAAAGTGGTGCAGAGGGTGCAGAGGCAATGTGGCTCTACTTTTTAGTGTTCACATGATGTAAGGGTTCGAAGCCGCTTTCTCAATTGCTCTTGCTTCGGCATGAGGGCTTGTTCAGGAGAGAGAGATATCACAAACGAGAAAAGCAGGAACGAGAGAGAGAGGCGACGTCTCGGGGAATGGGATGGAAGGGACATGTGTAATCGTATTCTTGCACACACTCTCGAAGGAACGCCGATAACATAGCCCGAAGCAAATGTATATGTGCGCGCGCGCGCGCCTGCGTGTATGAATGTTTGCATTTAATCAGAATCAGGCATGCACCCATGCCGGTCAGTAACAGCATGCCTGCGTAGCTTTGTGTGCGAGTGTATTAAGTATTATGCTTGTTTAGACTTGTTTATGTACGTGTATGTATAGCTGTGCCCGTATTTGTATGTATTTGTGCATGTATGTATGTTTGCATGCGTGTGAGTGTGAGTGTATGTACCTCGCTATGACGTGGAGAGCTTATAGTGTCTGCTGCCGGAGCGATCTTAGTGACTCAAGTGCTGTTTCTGCAGCCGCTTCTCAGGCCCCGGAAATCGTCCAGCTGTGGCCCCGGTCGAGTGGGCAAAGGGGCAGTGCTTGTTTGGGCATGTGCTCCAGACAACCGTAGGAATCAGATGAAGAAGCCCTTAAAATCGAATAGTAGATACATATTCAAGTGACCAAAACAAACCAGGGGTGTCGTAATCAGGTTCCTACAATGCAGCTGCAAGGTGTACCCGGGCTCTCGGGTTGGTCACGCTTGGCCTCTGGTTTGCTTTGCCCAACCGTAATGAAACAGGAAGTTTGGGAAGCGCCTTGTTTGTTTTGTGTGAGTGCTTGTATCGAGCTTCTGATCTGCAGAGTGGATTCGCGCAGCTTCCCGAGACCTGTCATGGTGTTTTCGGTGTTTTCGTGAGGTTTTTCCCCGCAGCTTCTTGTGGTTCGTGTATTGGTAGCAAACTTGTCCAAGTCAGCCATGTCTTGGTCTGGTCTTCAACCCGGCTCTGCATAGCAGCATCTGGCGCCTGTAGCCATGCACAGAGACGGAAAGGAATCCGATGATGTGTAACTGCCTCATGTTTTTTTGTAAACTTGAGCTTGCCAGAGAAAGATATTTAATATTTAATGCTCATTATTAGACTATTTGGGCTTACATGCAGGTGGAGGGCGAAAGCGGTGAAGATGACAGCGAAGCCGAGGTGGGCACAGAAAACCAAGACTGAGCGGGCTCGGTCAACTTATCTCATCTACCTTCGTTGGTGTTGTGGAGGTGCATACGTGATGGTTACTTTATCGTGCGCTTTGGCATACATGCTGATGTAAAGGATGTCAGCATACAACTTCCAAGCTGCAGGATGCGTTTGCCCCACCTCAGTTTAGCAACGTGGCGAGCGGCGCGAGCGGCGAGAGGAGCGTCCTCTTAGAACCCTCCGACTCTTTGACCAGGCAAATAGCGGGAAGTAAACATCAATATTGTGCTCAGCCCTTGTCCCATCAGGCCACTTGCTTTCCAGAAGTGGCGGAGAATTCATGTGCTCATGTATGCCGTGCAATTTGCGGTCCAGCTGGTCTACCTTGTTGCAGTCGGGTTGCTATGGTTGCTGATTTGCAGCATGATGAGATTACAGGTTAAATGTAATAATGAGCTGCTTCGACAAGACAGCCCAAACCGAAGCCCATTGGAGCAGTAGCCTTTGCCATATGACTATAAGTTTCTGCTGGGTTGTGTCTCTACAGCGAGCATGCTCTATATATATTATATAATATACCTATGTGGAGAGGTTCCAGCCACGATCGAAGCCCGAAGCTTGATTGCAGGGCCCCAGCACCACGAGCCCTGACAGCGGCCGGCGAAAGCCGACCCGGCGGGGTGGTCGTCGGGCAAGGCCTGCGCCCAGACATGCTCGCCCATCACAAGTCCTGGCGATGTGAGGCTCTGTCTTGACTGCGCCAGCAGAGCGGATCATCTCGTCTAAAGGCTAGAGTCACAGATGTCGATGGGCTCAGCTTGACTGGGGCAGTCACCACGCTCCCCGCAATAAAGTTGCAACATGTGGTGACGGAGGCAAATGTCGGTTTCCCCTGCCTTGGTAATTAGCCACCTTCCGCACGACAGGTGGAATGAATCCACACTAAGGCCATCCATTTCGGCTAGAGCAGCCTAA